ACTGGGGGAAGCTTAAAATTTGAGTAGTGGGAGATGTAAACTAAGGCGGGACTTCCGGGAGTTGTATTAGGCGTATCAGATAGGTTGTGAACTCCTGAGTACCCAACCAATGGGGAAATGGAGGAGGGCCTTTCCATTCGGGCTTAGGGAATAAAAAGTGCATGTATCATGGGGTGTGTCTACTTGTTGGACAACCACTGTTGCAACAATGTATTCTTTTAATAAATGCCTTGCTGCTTCATTGGATTTTTGTCTCAATTCTTTGGAACTTGAGAGTTGTTTCTCACATCAGGAATCCATGTCTTCCTTCCTCCTGGCTGTTCCAGGTAGTGTAAGTTCTAAGAAGAAAGTGAGGAGTTGGCATGTAGAGTTGGCCACAAGGAATTAGATGACTTAGACAATTACATTTAGCCAAAAGCATGCTACTCTTTATTATAAATATTATATTGTTACTTAACACTGTGATCATCCAGAAAACATAGTACCAAGATATTCAACTAGCTGTTTCACATTACTGGATTATTACTTATTTTATTTTTTAAAAAATAGTTAGCTGTATATTTTACAATTACATTTTCCTGAAGATCTCTCCATTTTCTCAAAGAACTACAGATCAGTTTCTCTGATAATGATACAAGAATATGAGTCAGAAGGACAGTTTTATCTGCTTACATGTTTAAACTTACATTTCTCCCCTTTTTTACTTACTAAATTTGTTGTTGTTGTTCAGTCATTAAGTCGTGTCCGACTCTTTGTGACCCCATGAGCCATATCGCGCCAGGCCTTCCTGTCCTTACTAAATTTACCTAATTGTAAACAAATTATGCAGTATTATATGAATATATATGTAAGACTCATTTAATTGTGAGTGATGTAAATTCATGCATATTCTTTCTTTTTTACTTTTCTTTTTGCAAAGAATTAAAAAATATATTTTATTTATCTAGTAGTAAATATGGTCCATGACCAGCAAGAATAGTAAAATAAACAAACATTGCTAAAGCCAGAATCTTTACGTATAAGATTATAATGGATTCCATATTTTATACTGGGAAAATTATGATGGGTTCAATATTTTACACCAGCAAAGGACAAATTGTCTCATAAAGTGGATATTATTAAAGCAAAAGTATTGATATTGTCTATTAACAGAACTTAATCACTAAAATGATTGAGCAAAACCAGAGACTCATACAGAAGTCAAAAAGTATACCAAGGTTTACCAAAGTATGATAATCCTTACTTCTCAAAGGCAGCTTCCTTTAAATATCTGGTGAAAAATAGGGCTGTTCTCTTAAAATTAGACCAGCAGGTAAAATGAATTGGATAAGATTCTACAGTTTGTAATCTATAGGCTAGTCCATGACAACAGTCTCTTCTGCCGTGAGCAAAAGTAAAGGTGGGGCTAATACAGTACATGATTGCCCAACACTTATACAATTAATTATATGACATGTCAAAAATCAATACATAGTTTTTCTCCTATCAGTTTTATAGTCAGGTAATGGTGGTGCTTTATAGCCATTTTACAGCAAGATTCATGATTAAATGTGTGTGCATTTTTCAAACAAATATGCTTCACAAAATGTCAAATTGCTAAAATTCCTGTACACTTTACTGTCTGCATAATAGATCAGTTTGGTATTCCAGTTCAGATATTTCTTATAACTTTAAAAATACAGGAAATATCATAATGAGTTATATTTTCAGGGTCTTGTAGTAGAAGCTTTCTATGCCTTTTATCTTAATGTAGGTAATTAATAATACTTTTGTCCAGAAATTTGTTGTCATTTTTCTTCTTTTACACATACCTTCTGTGATAAAGATTTACACAAACATTCTGTCAATGTTAACTCTTGTTTTAAATGTAACTGTTGCTTGCATACAACTCACCATAGTGTACTTTAAAGATTTTTTAATATTTAATTTTGTAAAGCACAAATTCTATTTAATGTCAATATTTTTGCCAATGTAGCAACAAAAATGTCCATTCATACAGACACAGACATAGACACACACATACACACCAGGGGGAAAAAAAAGTAGAAGAAGGAAAAAAAATGTCTCATTCCTTCTTTTCTCTGAAGAAAAAAGAGGGAAACTTGCAGGATCCTAGTCACTTTTACTGCTGAGTTTTCTCTTTAGGACACCAAAGGCAGCTGTTAAACTAGCACTGGCTTATATCATCTCAATTGTCTAGAATAGGTTAAGACAAGAATACCCTCCAATGTCATTGCCATACAAAGAAACAAATACATTACAACTAACCCAGAAATAAATCAGCTCAACTCTCCAGGACCAAGGAAGTCATGGGAACCCAGCAATCCATACTTGCCTTCAAACTGACACAGTGTCATCATGTCAATGTAGTCTATCTCAAGAGAAACAAATTATAATTTACAATGCAAACCATCAGAATACAAACTAATTAACTAACCAACTAAAGTCATGTACAAAAAATCATACAAACAGAATAAAAACAAAAGTTACATTTAAATCTGCAAACAGGTTGAGTTTGACTGACTTCAATTACTTCTGCTCAAGTGTACTTCAAATATCAATTAACATGTCACACTGACAACATACATGTTTCTCAGTTACCACATTGGGATTTAAACTAAATCAGTGCATGCAATGTTAGATTCATTATATTAAACCATATAAAGCACACAATGAGAAAGTCTCTGCTTGCTTAAACTATTAACGTACAAATTGCTTGAACTATTAATTTACTGTTTGAATTACTTTTGAACATAATGCCATATTATTCTGCCATCAGTGATGAAAGCACCCAGTTCTGGGACATATGTAGCTGGAAACAGAATGAAAGGGGAAAAAAAGGGGGGGTGTCTTTTCCTTCACACACCGTGGGGCACCAGGTGTTTTAAATGCCACCAGAAGGGTGCTTCAGGCAAAATCTTTCTGTCCAAGATAGTTTGGCGTAGATTAGTGGAAGCTTTCATGTCCTTGGCAAGTTTTGAACAAGAACCAGTGATATAAGTCTAGAGGGCTTGCATGAGGTACAGGGTACATCATATTTATTTTAATTGCTAGTGGCAGTTTGGCTAATTATGTTTAATTTAAAATGGTAATTTTATGTTAATGTAAAAGCAGAATGGATTGGCAGACAAAAAAGTAGCTCAGTTATTCAATTCCCAAAGACTGGTTCTTCTTCTATAATATGAAAATCCAGTTCTGCAGATTGCAACATCTTCTGGAGTATTAGATACAGTGAAATCCTAAGAGAATCTGATGTGATTAAGAGTACATTTTTACTTTTCCATGGGAAAGCTTCAGGCTGAGGGGGGAAATGAATAAAGTTGTGTCTTTGTTTTGTTTTTGTTTTCTTTTTAATGTACTTAAATAAAAATAATTGTTGTCACAAGGCAATAGCAAAAAAAAAAAAAAGATCTTTGCCTAGATTTGTCTACCGATTATACAGTTGGCCAGGAATAAGCAGTATTATTTAGTATTGTATACTATATAAACTTTTGTGAACTGACATGGATGCACTTTGGTGAAATTATTCAGGCTCTATAAGTGATCTAATTCATACTGCCAATTTATTTCAACAAAGCAATTCAGGAGCCACAAATTGCCCGAGGCCATTGCTGAAGGAGAAGATTCCTCTCACATTTCTCTCCAGGGTTGGCACAAATGCTTCTACACTGGACGTATTTCAGATTGCCTGCAATCTTCACAAGCCTGGAAGAACTTCAACATAACTCAGGGCACCTCTAGGAAAGGTAGGAACTTTCACTGAACACTGTAGGTAATCCTGCACTGGGTGCTCAAACTGCCCAGCTGGAAGCACTTTGGCCAAATCTGTGGGGTAAGATTCCTTTCAGCCTTCTGCAATGCTATAAAGGTCTTTTGGCCCTGTCATACCTTTTGGAAAGAGGCTAGCAAGAGGCTGCTTTCTTCTCTCATCCTCTAACTAATGGCTGGGAGCAGGTCAGTGACATAAAAGAACTATCCTTTTGCTCTCCTGAATTTTCAGGTTAATTCAGTTTTGCAAACAGAATTCTTTAGCAGTCCATGAATTATTGATATCATATATGTGGCATAAACTTATAAAATTAAATTTGAGCTTGTGGATAGATTTTTTTTTTTTTATCTGCGCTCAGTCATTACTGACTCTGCAGTGACTGCTTGGACAAGTCCTTGCAGTTTTCAAGGCAAGTGTTTCGGAAGTGGTTTGCCAGAGCCTCCTTCCTAGAGCAGAGCCCAGCTGGTGAGCGCAGGAGGCGGGGTTTCCGTTGCTTCGCGCCCTTTTCAGGTGCGCGCAGTTTTTCGCGCTTACTGGCAACTGCTCCCAACTCCTTTTTGCAAGGTGCCGCCAGCATTTTTCCTCCCACCGGAGTGAGAGTACCCAT